TGAAAAACTGTAAAACTTTTGCCTTATTTAAAAGCAAAACCAAAAAGTACCTAACTTCATCTATTTAGTTTCCTACACTGAGCTTTAAATTTGCTCTGTACCTAGTGGTACCCAATCTCCTAATTTTTATGTAATATCAAACAACCTTATCATTGTGTTCATTGCTGTCTTCTTTTATGTGCTAGCCATATGCTGTATTGTGACTACCAATTTTTGTCAACTACCATTCAAGCTGTCATTGCAATCAATCTTATATTGTTTCTGCTGTATTGTGCCTACCAATTTGTTGTCAACTACCATTTTAAGCTGTCATTGCAATCAATCATAGCTACCTATGTGCTTTAATATACTGTACCTATAATTTTCTCTCATCTTTTTTTTTTTTCATTCCATGTAATCTGTTATCATTTTTTTGTCTATAAATTTTGCAAGTATTTACCTCCTTAAAATTTTCTTAGATTAAGGACCTGCCCGAAACGCTGCGCGTGCTAGTGGCTTTACAAGACTGTAATTACCATAATTGTATCCTCACATTCCTTATGTACATTCTTGTATATGCATAAATAAATAAATAAATAAATAAATTTGAGTGCCAAGAACAACTCTCGTGTAGGCCCGCATTCAGTTCTCGATGTTCAAGCTTTTGCTATAGTAAATGACTCTAAAAATGAGGCCGTATCTCGCCCTGACCAACTGTTTTTGGCTCAATTGTAATTTCCCATCCAGCCGCAGTCAGCTGGGCAGGACCCAGTGCAGGTTTGGAAGGCTTTGGAAATTAAAGCACCGTAAGATTGTGAGTGTTCAAGTCTAGGGGGGACTAAGCATTTTTGTTGTGTGAATGTGCAAAGCCCGTGTTTATTTGTGTAAGTTAAAAATTGAGTTTTTGTTTGTGTATAAGAGTTTAGCAATGTGTTTAAGTAAGATTGTGCAACTGTTTTAAGTTTAGGGGGGACTAAGTATTTTGCGCGAACGTGAAAGCCCTGGGTTTATTTGTGTAAGTTAAAAATTGAGTTTTTGTTTGTGTATAAGAGTTTAGCAATGTGTTTAAGTAAGATTGTGCAAATGTTTTAAGTTTAGGGGGGACTAAGTATTTTGCGCGAATGTGAAAGCCCTGGGTTTATTTGTGTAAGTTAAACCAAAAAAAAATGAGTTTGTTTTGCGAGCGAGTTTGTTTAAGCATGTGCTATCATTAAAAAACTTCCAAAGTAATGACAGTAATGCCAAAATGAATTCATCTTTTCACTTTTTTGAAAGGTGGAGGTGTAACATTTTCTGAAAACCATTGCGCTTGATATACCACGGCACTGACATAAGTCGATGCGCTATATGAAGTTATTGGGCCCCCACCACAATAGCTGAAAACTATTATGATGTTAAAAAATGAAATTTAATACAGAATACGAACAGATTCCCAGTATGTATTAAATTGCTTAAACCACTCAACTACTTTCCTTTATAGTATATTTACGAGTGTCAAATTAATGTATGGAGTGTCAAACCCAACACAATATGGCTGAGGCCCCACTATTTAAACTTCTTTTCGTATGCTATGAAATATCACAGGTATTGTTAATGCTTGTAACGTTTATTACAAAAGATAGACATACATTTGATGCTATTTTTCATATTAAAATCTAATTTGAGGCCCGAAAAATATATCTATAAACAGGTTAGAACCATTCAAATTCAAGTATGCCTTTTTCACCAGTATTCAACTGAATACCACAGAAAATGGAATCTTTACTTTAGCTACAGAAAACGGAGCAAAGCCAAGGTGGGATGACTGAAATAAACAGTTTCCAACCTGACTCTTCCCGCACATAAACATGTCTTTCTTGACCTCATTTCAAATTATATAGAGTACTGAAAGCTCATTTTCCATAGCAAATATACTAAGGAACTCATTTTACGACTAGAACGCAAACTAGGACCCCTCATTCAGATTCAAAACACGAGAATTATTGACTGAACATTTCCCCACTATCAAGCACACAGGACTCTTTAAAGCTATCTTAACTTCTTTAAAACCCCAATATGACCCATTTCACATGCAGATCCTGTTCTATGACTCGCCCTTCATGTCAATGTACCCCACAGTATCATGCAAATTCAAGATAAGGCTTACTACACCTATATATCCAAACTTGGTCTTTGTAAGAAATCTTGACCCCCCCTTGTATGCTTGACCCCCACTGGGGTTATCCACCTCTGACCATTACAGAAAATGGAGCTGTGCCCAAGGGCTCCCTATACTATTCAGTCATAGCCTCATTAAAGTACTCCAAAAACTTCTATATTCGCTTTCAACTGCATTTCTTGGTTTGAATCTATTGAACATTCACCTTCTGATCCATTCAAAAGTAAGAGCCCCCAAATTGATACCGTAGTACTCTCGTAACACCCCCGGGACAAATCGTGCATTTTTGCTCATGCCATTAAAATACTCCAAAAACGTTTATACGCCTTTCACCAGTGAATTTTTTGGTTTCCAACTATTGAACATTCATCCTCGGTACCTCTCATAAGTAGAGACCCCCTTCTTGAGGCAATAGACTCATCTTAAAGCAAGGCGACAAAAAGTAACAAAAAACAGGTTAGGATAGGGCACCAGTTCCTCAGGTACACCATGGGTGGTGGTCCCCCCGGGACCCCAGGGGGGACCACCACCCCACAACTGCCTTCAGCCAGGAGCGCGCTGACTGTGCCCTAACCTAACCACCTAAAACAAGAGGGATGGACGATCTGGCCCGCCAGGGTCAAGTCGGCATGGAAGTGCCCAACCGTTTCTGAAATTTTTTTACCTCAATCTGTCTCCTTATTCACTACTCACCAAGCCCCCTCACGACGCCTACGGGCCGGATGGGGAGGGGGTTTGATTCATTAAAATTATTGCTTATCATTATACTATTTATTATTATTATTATATTATTTATTATTATAATTATTACATTATTTATTATTAATTTATTATTTATTATTATAAAATAAAAAAGTCTCCACTCTGAGTGTGTTTTCCTTCAACCGCAGACAACTGTATTTCCTTGTAATTAGTGTTAAACACCAGTGTTGTACCGTCGCCAGAACTACATCAGTGTCCATAATGTAATGTTCCATATTGTTTATCATCTGCTGTATTCCTTCAACATTTTCTGGTATGTTAGATTACTTATTTTTATTTGTAGTTGTTTTTCCACATTATACCTATTAATATTTTGTTAACTAAATCTAAATTATTTTAAGTTAACCCAAAACGCTTTGCGTAGTAGTGGTATAATATTTATGTGTGACCCTGTACCTTCCTCTGACCTTCTTTGTACCAAGATTCTTATGAATAAAATTATTTACACAGGGAAATCACAGTAATGCGATAAATCAGTAAGAAAATCCACAAGAGCCGTGATGAGGATTCGAACCTATGCGCTGGGCTCACACACTCAGACACACACTCTATAGGCAACTAAGCCATGGTATACATAACAAAAAAAACTGCAACCTTGGATTCTGCTGAACCCACGAGGTTCCCAGCTCCTTGTTCTTATATCCCAGCTCCTTGTCCTCATATTCCAGCTCCTTGTCCTCATATCCCAGCTCCTTGTCCTCATATCCCAGCTCCTTGTTCTTATATCCCAGCTCCTTGTCCTCATATTCCAGCTCCTTGTCCTCATATCCCAGCTCCTTGTCCTCATATTCCAGCTCCTTGTCCTCATATCCCAGCTCCTTGTCCTCATATCCCAGCTCCTTGTTCTTATATCCCAGCTCCTTGTCCTCATATTCCAGCTCCTTGTCCTCATATCCCAGCTCCTTGTCCTCATATCCCAGCTCCTTGTTCTTATATCCCAGCTCCTTGTCCTCATATTCCAGCTCCTTGTCCTCATATCCCAGCTCCTTGTCCTCATATTCCAGCTCCTTGTCCTCATATCCCAGCTCCTTGTCCTCATATCCCAGCTCCTTGTTCTTATATCCCAGCTCCTTGTACCCATATCCCAGCTCCTTGTCCTCATATTCCAGCTCCTTGTCCTCATATTCCAGCTCCTTGTCCTCATATCCCAGCTCCTTGTTCTTATATCCCAGCTCCTTGTCCTCATATTCCAGCTCCTTGTCCTCATATCCCAGCTCCTTGTCCTCATATTCCAGCTCCTTGTCCTCATATCCCAGCTCCTTGTCCTCATATCCCAGCTCCTTGTTCTTATATCCCAGCTCCTTGTACCCATATCCCAGCTCCTTGTTCTTATATCCCAGCTCCTTGTCCTCATATCCCATCTCCTTGTCCTCATATCCTAGTTCCTTGTCCTCATATCCCAGCTCCTTGTCCTCATATCTCATCTCCTTGTCCTCATATCCTAGTTCCTTGTCCTCATATCCCAGCTCCTTATCCTCACATCCCAGCTCACTGTCCTCATATCCCAGCTCCTTGTCTTCATATCCCAGCTCCTTGTCCTCATACCTCAGCTCGTTGTTCTCATATCCCATCTCCTTGTCCTCATATCCCAGCTCCTTGTCTTCACATCCCAGCTCCTTGTCCTCATATCCCAGCTCCTTTTCGTCATATTCCAGCTCCTTGTCCTCATATCCCAGCTCCTTGTCCTCATATCCCAGCTCCTTGTCCTCATATTCCAGCGCTTTGTCCTCACATTCCAGCTCCTTGTAATCATATCCCAGCTCCTTGTCCTCACATCCCAGCCCCTTGTCCTCACATCCCAGCTCCTTCCCGTCATACCCCAGCTCCGTGTCGTCATATCCCAGCCTCTGGTTCTCATTTCCTAGCCTCTGGTCCTCATATCCCAGCCTCTGGTCCTCATATCCCAGCCTCTGGTCCTCATATCCCAGCTCCTTGTCCTCACATACCAGATCCTTTCCTCACATCCCAGCTCCTTCACGTCATATCCCAGCTTCTTGTCCTCATATCCCTTCCCTGAGGTATATAGGCATACCAGCCGAGCGGTTGCTCCTCATAATTCGTCCCCTCACCTCACACTTGCACTAACACTGGAGAAACTTACTAGTGAGGTAGTCGTCTTCGTCAGCGCTGCCTACGGACACGAGTTCGCTGCCCAGCATGTCGTTGCAGGAGCCGTGGGCGGTGTCCCAGTCGGCGGTGGTCGGGGAGAGGTAGTAACAGTGGTTGTTCCAGTAGCTCCACCCGCTCGGGCACGTTACTGTTGGTACACAACACAGGGGGGCACGTCAATGTTGGTACACAACACAGGGGGCATGTCACTGTTTTCACACAACACAGGGGGCACGTCACTGTTGGTACACAACACAGGGGCACGTCACTGTTGGTACACAACACAGGGGGCACATCACTGTTGGTACACAACACAGGGGGCAGGTCACTGTTGGTACACAACACAGGGGGCACGTCACTGTTGGTACACAACACAGGGGGGGCACGTCACTGTTGGTTCACAACACAGGGGGGCACGTCACTGTTGGTACACAACACAGGGGGCACGTCACTGTTGGTACACAACACAGGGGGCACGTCACTGTTGGTACACAACACAGGGGGGCACGTCACTGTTGGTACACAACACAGGGGGGCACGTCACTGTTGGTACACAACACAGGGGGGCACGTCACTGTTGGTACACAACACAGGGGGCAAGTCACTGTTGGTACACAACACAGGGGGCACGTCACTGTTGGTACACAACACAGGGGGGCACGTCACTGTTGGTACACAACACAGGGGGCACGTCACTGTTGGTACACAACACAGGGGGGCACGTCACTGTTGGTACACAACACAGGGGGCACGTCACTGTTGGTACACAACACAGGGGGCACGTCACTGTTGGTACAGTAAACCTAAGGCTCCCCCTAGCATGCTGTACAAGACCAGTACACCTCGGGTTATTGCGTTCAAATGGAGTAAAACAGTCGATCGCAATAATCTGAGCAGAACCACCACTAAATTCTACTTAAGAACTACACCTGCCACTCCCCAACTGACCTGGAGACCAGCGGTGGCTGGGTGTCCTCCTGGGACATGCGAGGTCACCTGTCACACTCAGCTGACCTGCACTACCAACACCGCTAAGTTCCCAAATCGCCAAATCTTATCACTAACATAAATCACTACACACGCAAGTTCTGGTGAACATTCCCTGAACTACACAAAACTCACAAAATCACTAAACACAACACCAGAGAATCACTATCTCCTAACCTGAAAAAAAGTTCGCTAACTCGCGAATAATAAACACCTGTCAAGATCTCCCTGATATTGTAACGGGGGGTGGGGGAAATAGCTCTATCTTGTCCATTATTCCACCCCCCAGTTAACTAACGAGGCCGGGGGAAACAGCTCTCTCTAGTCCGTTATCCCGTCCCCAGTTAGCTAACTATTCTAGAGCACTCCCAGAGATCCTAAGGCAACCTCTCTGGTTCAACACCTTGTAACCTAGGTATTCGACTACCTAGGTGCTAAGACTACAAGGCGCCGTCACTTGATCAGTTACCCGAAACTCTAGAGAGAACTCTAGAATACAGAATCATTGCCACAAACGTATAAGAGAAAACGAAAGGAAAGAAATGAATAGTGAAGTAATTAGTGAGGGCTTGGGGGTGAGAGGGAGAGAGGTGGGAGGAGCGAGGAGGGTCATTAGTTGAAAGTGAGAGTTTAGAGATGGGTGGAGGGAGAGGTGTAGATAGGTAGAAGGAGAAGAGTAGATAGTAGAAGTAGAAGAGTAGATAGTAGAAGTAGAAGAGTAGATAGTAGAAGACGAAATGCTGCCACCATCCATTCATGATCATTACACACAAGACAAGGAATGGAACTTGCCTGTATCACAAAATTCTCAAAGGATGTTATCATGAGTTCATTATTAGTATGTTCCCTCTGTACCATGTATCAACTCCAAACATGTACTCATTCTAAACCATGAAACCAGTAACTACAGAGGCTTTCTCACCTCAACTCAAAATCTCTAGGGAACAAAGTTAAACACAATTTAAATAATAAATTCATAATTATATTTCACATGAAGTATCATAATTTAGTAATTCAATTAAAATGTTCCAGTTTAATATGCAAAGTGAGTCATCATCCAAGAATTCGAGAACCCTACAACTTGACTGCCCCTGATCATCACACAACACTTGTAAAACACGACAAGTCACCTAAATGTTCACTCACCGAGGACTGAGTCTAAGTTGAATAGAGAGGGGGGGGGGGTCTGTAGCTTGACAGAGACTGTCTCGCCCCTGCCGGCCGACAGCCTCCCTGGTAGGGACGTCGTCTCTGCTCTCGTCTGCTGTTCTGTCTCTTAATGCTCTATGCTGGATAGCTCTCCGAGTTTATATTGGGGAACCTAGTAGCTAACTCCGCCCACAAGTAGATAGCCTCCGGCACTACCAAGCCACTCCTTAAACGTCGGCATGTTTGAAGGCTACCCGGCTCCAATTATACGCTTAGCGGAAGCAAGGTGAAATTATCATGATCTGACCTCAGGTCACTTGGGGTCATTAACGGTTAGAGGTGTGAGATCTCAGGCAGACAACTGGCGCCTCTCAGATCCTTGTCTGTGACTCGTGTACTCTATATATATTTTAAATAAACTAACCCAAACACTTTTACAGTGTTACATCTCCCCTTCTCCCCGAAATAAAGTTTTTGCAACACTGCTAAAGCAAGCTAGCTGTGTGCAACAACTTTATTAACGAAAAAAAAATACATCCTAGCTAAACAAATATACATCATCCTACTCTAAAAAATGAAATATGTAGACAGACGTCCATTGTCTCTGGCTGGGCGACGTCACTGCTTGGTCTTGTAGATAATCCTGTACCACATTTCTGCAACACAACTGCCTCCGTCGCTTCTCCGTCGTTAACGCACAACAACACTTGGTCAACCCGAAAGCCGTTACTACTTGAACTGCGCACAGGACCGTGGAATTCGGTTGTCCCAGCTGATCTGTAATTGGCCCTACGTCAGTCACCATGAGAGACGTATATTGGGGTTCTTCACAGCTATAGGGACTACAAGTTTCGAGACCTTCATATAGTTGCCAACAGTAGAAATCCCATCCTACTCTTCTTCCTCCCTGTTGCTCCAGCACGCCTCCTTCAGAGAGCTACTTCTGACAGCCACATCAAGTCCGCATGACACAGGAAGAATCACTCAACAGAGCAACATGCTTGTAGGAGGGGCAGCCAGTTAAGGCAAACGATCCTGTCTTGCAATTACGCTCCATGCAATGATGCTGACACCAGCAAGGGACACTAGGTATCGTGTCTCAGCTTGTCTTATCTTCTTCTTTCTTCTCTCTTCTTTTTTCTATCTTCTTCCTTCTCTCTTCTTTCTTCTCTCTTCTTTCTTCTCTCTTCTTTCTTCTCTCTTCTTTCTTCTTTCTTCTCTCTTCCTTCTTCTCTCTTCCTTCTTCTCTCTTCCTTCTTCTCTTCTTTCTTCTCTCTTCTTTCTCCCATGGGTCTTTGACAAGCGACCTGGGGTCCATTGGGGTCTGTCCGTCCTGGGGTCCATCCTGGGTAGACCGATGTTGGTGGGACAGACTGGAGTCGTTGTTGCTCCTCTTCCATCTTTACTGGGTCGTCTGGGGTCGTCTGCAGAACGACCTGGGGTCCACTGGGGGTCCGCTGGGGTCCGTCCGTCTTGGGGTCCAATGGGTAGACCAATGTTGACCGACCGAGAGGGCTGCATCTTGGGGTCCCCTGGGGTGGTGATGGTGGTGGAGCCGTGACCTCCAGGTAGTGGGCTGGTCGTGGTGGTGGTGATTAACGCCCGTGAGTGTGGTACACAGCAGCCGTCTCCCTCTTTTGTATGTGCGTCTCTCCTCTCTTCTGGCTCCCACCTGTGGGTGAACAGAAAGGCGACAATATCGTGCTCCCAAGATATGTTATGTGACCCTGTAGTTTGTATAGGGTTACACAGTCCAGTTATACCGCTCTCCTCCTGGCAACAACTACACTTAATTTTTTTAAAATAATCCAATTAACACTGAATGATACTGACTTGGTGGAACATAAGACAGTAACAGAGGAAAGTTAGAGAAGAGAGAATAAGGTCATCACTACTTTTAACTTGTCACAAAAAAAAAATCAAAACTAATAGACAAAACGCTAGCCTAAACTTAACTGTACCGTTCCTAATCTTAAGTACATAAACCGCCGTTACTCCCACCCTTAACCTACAGCCACCTACGTGACCCAGAGTGTCTCCCTAGCATCTCCGCCGGTCAACAACTCCAAACTGTTGCCACCCCTGTGACCAGACTATCTAACGTCGAGCGTCCCCAACGTGAAGTCTACTGACATACTAAGGCTCCCCCTAGCATGCTGTACAAGACCAGTACACCTCGGGTTATTGCGTTCAAATGGAGTAAAACAGTCGATCGCAATAATCTGAGCAGAACCACCACTAAATTCTACTTAAGAACTACACCTGCCACTCCCCAACTGACCTGGAGACCAGCGGTGGCTGGGTGTCCTCCTGGGACATGCGAGGTCACCTGTCACACTCAGCTGACCTGCACTACCAACACCGCTAAGTTCCCAAATCGCCAAATCTTATCACTAACATAAATCACTACACACGCAAGTTCTGGTGAACATTCCCTGAACTACACAAAACTCACAAAATCACTAAACACAACACCAGAGAATCACTATCTCCTAACCTGAAAAAAAGTTCGCTAACTCGCGAATAATAAACACCTGTCAAGATCTCCCTGATAGCGCCTGAGCGGCAAAAAGACACGTGGGACTGAACAATGTTAAAAGAACACCAATACCTTAAACATTGTTCAACACCGCTGCCAACATTGTAACGGGGGGTGGGGGAAATAGCTCTATCTTGTCCATTATTCCACCCCCCAGTTAACTAACGAGGCCGGGGGAAACAGCTCTCTCTAGTCCGTTATCCCGTCCCCAGTTAGCTAACTATTCTAGAGCACTCCCAGAGATCCTAAGGCAACCTCTCTGGTTCAACACCTTGTAACCTAGGTATTCGACTACCTAGGTGCTAAGACTACAAGGCGCCGTCACTTGATCAGTTACCCGAAACTCTAGAGAGAACTCTAGAATACAGAATCATTGCCACAAACGTATAAGAGAAAACGAAAGGAAAGAAATGAATAGTGAAGTAATTAGTGAGGGCTTGGGGGTGAGAGGGAGAGAGGTGGGAGGAGCGAGGAGGGTCATTAGTTGAAAGTGAGAGTTTAGAGATGGGTGGAGGGAGAGGTGTAGATAGGTAGAAGGAGAAGAGTAGATAGTAGAAGTAGAAGAGTAGATAGTAGAAGTAGAAGAGTAGATAGTAGAAGACGAAATGCTGCCACCATCCATTCATGATCATTACACACAAGACAAGGAATGGAACTTGCCTGTATCACAAAATTCTCAAAGGATGTTATCATGAGTTCATTATTAGTATGTTCCCTCTGTACCATGTATCAACTCCAAACATGTACTCATTCTAAACCATGAAACCAGTAACTACAGAGGCTTTCTCACCTCAACTCAAAATCTCTAGGGAACAAAGTTAAACACAATTTAAATAATAAATTCATAATTATATTTCACATGAAGTATCATAATTTAGTAATTCAATTAAAATGTTCCAGTTTAATATGCAAAGTGAGTCATCATCCAAGAATTCGAGAACCCTACAACTTGACTGCCCCTGATCGTCACACAACACTTGTAAAACACGACAAGTCACCTTAATGTTCACTCACCGAGGACTGAGTCTAAGTTGAATAGAGAGGGGGGGGGGGGGGTCTGTAGTTGACAGAGACTGTCTCGCCCCTGCCGGCCGACAGCCTCCCTGGTAGGGACGTCGTCTCTGCTCTCGTCTGCTGTTCTGTCTCTTAATGCTCTCTGGTGGATAGCTCTCCGAGTTTATATTGGGGAACCTAGTAGCTAACTCCGCCCACAAGTAGATAGCCTCCGGCACTACCAAGCCACTCCTTAAACGTCGGCATGTTTGAAGGCTACCCGGCTCCAATTATACGCTTAGCGGAAGCAAGGTGAAATTATCATGATCTGACCTCAGGTCACTTGGGGTCATTAACGGTTAGAGGTGTGAGATCTCAGGCAGACAACTGGCGCCTCTCAGATCCTTGTCTGTGACTCGTGTACTCTATATATATTTTAAATAAACTAACCCAAACACTTTTACAGTGTTACAACAACACCCTCACCTGTCACCACAACACCCTCACCTGTCACCACAACACCCTCACCTGTCACCACAACACTCTCACCTGTCACCACAACACCCTCACCTGTCATCACAACACCCTCACCTGTCATCACAACACCCTCACCTGTCATCACAACACCCTCACCTGTCACCACAACACCCTCACCTGTCACCACAACACCCTCACCTGTCACCACAACACCCTCACCTGTCACCACAACACCGTCACCTGTCACCACAACACCGTCACCTGTCACCACAACCCTCACCTGTCACCACAACACTCTCACCTGTCACCACAACACCCTCACCTGACACCACAACACACTCACCTGTCACCACAACACCCTCACCTGACACCACAACACACTCACCTGTCACCACAACACCCTCACCTGTCACCACAACCCTCACCTGTCACCACAACACCCTCACCTGACACCACAACACACTCACCTGTCACCACAACACCCTCACCTGTCACCACAACCCTCACCTGTCACCACAACACCCTCACCTGTCACCACAACACCCTCACCTGACACCACAACACACTCACCTGTCACCACAACATCCTCACCTGTCACCACAACCCTCACCTGTCACCACAACACCCTCACCTGACACCACAACACACTCACCTGTCACCACAACACCCTCACCTGTCACCACAACCCTTACCTGTCACCACAACACCCTCACCTGACACCACAACACACTCACCTGACACCACAAGACCCTCACCTGACACCACAACACCCTCACCTGTCACCACAACACCCTCACCTGACACCACAACACACTCTCCTGTCACCACAACACCCTCACCTGTCACCACAACCCTTACCTGTCACCACAACACCCTCACCTGACACCACAACACACTCACCTGACACCACAAGACCCTCACCTGACACCACAACACACTCACCTGTCACCACAACACCCTCACCTGTCACCACAACACACTCACCTGACACCACAACACACTCACCTGTCACCACAACACCCTCACCTGTCACCACAACACACTCACCTGACACCACAACACACTCACCTGTCACCACAACACCCTCACCTGACACCACAACACACTCACCTGACACCACAAGACCCTCACCTGACACCACAACACACTCACCTGTCACCACAACACCCTCACCTGTCACCACAACACCCTCACCTGACACCACAACACCCTCACCTGTCACCACAACACCCTCACCTGTCACCACAACACACTCACCTGACACCACAACACCCTCACCTGTCACCACAACACTGAACAACACCAACAGTTCCGTAGAGAGCTTACATGAAGTAGTTCCAATGTGGTACAATTATATCATATTTTATATTGTTGTTTTGTTCCATTTAACAAGTGTGAAGGATAGTAGTGACCTCAGGTACTCCACAGGTGTTGTGACACTTTCCATGTTTCCTGCCCGCAGGTGTTGACGGGTGTTAGCAGGAATTATAATGCCTCGTTACGTCACTTCTCGCCTGTCTCTCTACCCGTCCTCTCCAACAGTACGTCTGATTTTTGACGTATATATCCTCATTCATCATAGCGGCTCACAAAATTGACGGGCTGTCCCGTTTTCTATTCGTTGTTCCGAGTCGGTTAGGTTAGGTTCGTTTCATCAGTTGTAGTACATTTTTAGAATATTTTAGTACAATTTAGTACATCATTTTTGTGATGTTGTTAGAACTGGAGAGGATGAGATGCTCAACCATTGACCTGCTATATGTACCCTTTGACCTGATTAGCACCAATTAGTATAGGATGCTCTGTACAAATGTGTTTTTTGAGAAACTCAAAAGTTTTAATATTTTGATTATTTTTGGTTTATCTCAGCGATGGTGTTGTGTCCGGCGGATGCATGGTCACCTGGATCTGGGCTCCCGTGGTAGGGAGGAGGGCGGGCAAAGGTACATTAACTCCAACTAACAGCCATTACCTTCATGGGCTTGATAATTGATCACAGTTGCAGATAGAACTATACCGACTAGTCACCTTTACTCTCAATGGTTGATTCTCAACATCAAGTATCACAACATTCAGTTAATACTAACTAATTCATTCACTTTTCTCTGTCTGTCTATCTGTCTGTCTGTCTGTCTCTCTCTCTCTCTCTCTCTCTCTCTCTCTCTCTCTCTCTCTCTCTCTCTCTCTCTCTCTCTCTCTCTCTCTCTCTCTCTCTCTCTCTCTCTCTCTCTCTCTCTCTCTCTCTCTCTCTCTCTCTCTCTCTCTCTCTCTCTCTCTCTCTCTCTCTCTCTCTCTCTCTCTCTCTCTCTCTCTCTCAAGTACTTTGGAAAATATATCACCTCAAGTACTTTGTAAAATATATCACTTACCTTTTTTCTCACATATAAATGCAAAGCGGAGAACGCAGTCGATGTCATTCCACTTGCCCGTGTCCGAGTGCATCTCTGCAAGGTTACAAATGGGTTAGCACGCGTGTGTGTACTCACCTATTTACCTATTTGTGCCTGCAGGATCGAGCTCTAGCTCTTGCATCCTGCTTTTCTAGCCGTTGGTTGTGTAATGCAATGACTCTTGGCCTATTTTGCTATCATATTTTCCATTTACTCACTACCCTTACGCTAAAGGAAAACTTTCTAACATTTCTATGACACATCTCAAGTGAGTCTGAGTCTCAAGCTTCCATCCGTGCCCCCTTTGTAGAAATAGTTATAGAGTGTAGCAGTTTTTACTGTTAGCTTGGGTGAGTCCAGAGGAGTGAGAGGCAGCCACCCCGGGCTGTTCCCATGGGAACCAAGCCGTCTGCCGTGACGTCTCCCCAGAGTGGCAAGCGAGGGGAAGCCGTGATTGGCTAAGGGCCTTAGGCCGAGGTGCGCCACTCTATGATTGGCTAGCTTGAGGAAGGACCAGTAGGCCAGCATCTTCCCGTCCTGGATCCAAGACGCCATTCTGCATCAAGCTACTGCCCGTGTTTGACGTAATCTTTGCTTAGTCGGCAAGCTAAGTAAAGGGACCCGTCGGCAGTAGCATCTGAGTACACTTTATATTCTCGCGATACCGACGTGTGTCCGTAGGGAATGAGCAGAATCCGGGAACTCCTCGTATTGGCGTATATTACAAGAAAGTGTACACGACTGGAAATGTAGCAGTGGGTAAACCACACGTGCAGGAGTAACGGACTGTGTCGTGAATCCTCATCCCCAGTCATCATCTGATCTCCTGCTTATTAAGTCACTGAGCAGTTGAGATATCTAGGAGTAACTTGCCAGTGTTCATGGCAGTTTTTCCACTAGAAACTCGTGGGAATTTCGGTCTTAGTGTTGGACATTGTCGTTCGCCATATTTGCCGGCATTTCGGACAAGCACGATGCTTCGCCCTGAGAGAAGGAAGAAGCTAGCAAGTGCAGGTGGGTACAAACTGTACCGAGCCGCGTTATGCTCCGCACAGGCTACTCCTAGCCAGAGCCGTTCCGCCGCTGATCTTCGAGACTACAGTGCTTCAGTCTTCATGTTTACTTGGGGTAGTATGTCTGTAGGCTGGCCAGTATAATTGAGTAAGTCTCCCTTATGTTGTATTGGTTATTATTATCTCTAACCCTGATTCGTGTCAGAAGGGTCCGCCAGCATTGTCCTTTTAGCACCTGATAGATGAACAGGAAGTGCAGAGCACATGAGATTTCACTTATTAAACGTCTTGTCAGTCAAAGAAGGGCTTGAACTGAGTGTATGTGTGCAGACGAGTGTGTGTTTGGTCACACAGGAAACACATTCAGTTGTTTAATAAAGTCCAACAGGTGAGGGCCGTCCAAGAGTTATTATACTCCATACTGGTGTGGGGTTATGTATTATTACATTTCTTATATGTAAATGTTTATGACATTTCCCCAAGTCCACATGTGAAGGCCATTTCAGGAGATCCAGTTCCGGTCATCATGTTACGGTAGTGTAAGAATGTTGTAACCCTGGGAGATTTCCTGGCATAGAATATTGTGTCGTACAGTCTCCGTGGTGTAGTGGTAAGACACTCGCCTGGCGTTCCGCGAGCGCTTTGTCATGGGTTCGTATCCTGGCCGGGGAGGATTTACTGGGCGCAAATCCTTAACTGTAGCCTCTGTTTAACTCAACAGTAAAATGTGTACTTAGTTGTAACAAAGATTCTTCGCGGCAGGGATCGTATTCCAGGGACCTGCCCGAAACGCTACGCGTACTAGTGGCTGTACAAGAATGTAACAACTCTTGTATATATCTCTCAAAAAAAAAGTGTTACCAGTGTGTGTTTATACACAATACATGCGTATTGTGTGTTTCTGGGCTGTGACAAGTGTAATTTTTATATAAACTTTGCTGATCTGTTTAACGTAATTCGGTGGATTTGTGATGAAGAGTGATTGACGCCGCTGTCTGGAGAGAGCTCTGTTGAGTAATGTAAATTCATGGGGATTAATTATCGATCCGTGGGATCGTTAATCACTTCTCCAAGTTGATTAGGAGAGTGATTATCTCCTTAGTGCTCCACATAGCGTTTAATAGCAGAGAGCAACAGGTGAGGTTATCTTGAGATGATTTTCTTGAGGTTATCTTGAGATGATTTCGGGGCTTTTTAGTGTCTCCGCGGCCCGGTCCTCGACCAGGCCTCCACCCCCCAGGAAGCAGCCCGTGACAGCTGACTAACACCCAGGTACCTATTTTACTGCTAGTTAACAGAGACAGAGGGTGAAAGAAACTCTGCCCATTGTTTCTCGCCGGAGCCTGGGATCGAACCCGGGATCACAGGATCACAAGTCCAGCGTGCTGTCCGGCTCCTAGAGGTCAATGAGTACGATATATAATTATAGTGTCACGAGTCCAAGTGTGTTATTAATGGGTTTTCAGTAATTGTCATAGCAACAGGTTGCAATTGTTGAGCTGTGATTGTAATATAGTTTATTAGATCACCGAGTGTTGTGTTACTGTGTCGAGAGTGAACTCGTCCGTGTGACGAGTACTGGGATGTAAATTTGGTTATTATCGAAGTCAAGGATTCAGTGAGCGTTAATTGAGTAGGGTAATTAACGTCACGTCACCAAGGGAACACCCATTGTTTGTAGAGGTACTGTCATGCAAGACAGTTTGAGTTAACGTAGATATGTTTGGGTTAATTATCTTCCATGGGACAGCTGATAGGTCGATCACGGGATTGGGTCCAATCAGCCACTTAAAACGAAGTAGGAGTTGCCTGTGGGCTGCCGAGCGGTGTGGACGTGTCGTTTGCCCGCTCTGGCAGTTTTGGGGTGATTGACGTTTTCGCCAGTAGGGGGTGTGGGAGTCTCTACCCTCCTTGCTGTTCCTGGTGGTAGGGACGTGGCGTGTTTTGTGATGGGCGGCCCTATTCCCGCTGTCGTGCGGTTAAACTCCATCGGATTGGAGTTTACTGGCCGTGCTGGTTACCCGCTGGTGGACGTGGTATTGAGTGACATGCTTCGTGTCCCGGTTGGGGACGTATATGGCATTGAGCTGGTCACTGCTCACTGTGTCATTATCAAGTTTGTGGGTGAGGCGGTGTACCGTGCTTTCCTACGGAGGTACGAGGGAAGTACTTTGCAGCTACAGGACGGCACTGGGTCTGTGACCATTTCAGACCGTAGTGGTGCTGTGACGTATGTCAGTGTTCATGGCGCCCCCATGGAGTTTCCTGAGACTCTCCTCCGGCGATTCTTCCAGAGGTACGGCTCCGTCATCAGTGTGCGGATAAACTCACTGTCGTCTGGCACGTAATCGGGTGTGAAGACCAACATTCGGACCCTCGGGATGCGACTGAGATCGGACATACCGTCCTCTGTCCGGCTGTTGGGGGTACTACGTGCGGGTGTTTTATGCCCGGCAACCCCGTACTTGCTTCCGGTGTGGCTTGTTGGGGCATCAGGCTGCCAGGTGTACTGCTGATCCGGTCGCTCCTGTGAACTTGTTCCGTGAGGAGGATTTCCCGCCGCTTCCTCTGGAGGAGGACTCCGGGGGTGAGGAGGTGAGCGTCCCGTTCGCTGCTGAGGCCTCCCCAGCGTCACCCGACGTTCCCCCGGTTGCGCAGACCCTCCTCTGGGTGTTGCGGTGCCGTCGGATGTTCCTCCTGACCATGTCTCTGGCCCTGCCGTTCCCATGAACCTTCCTGGTGATCCCTGCGTCGCCGTCGGCTTCCTCGTCTTCGGCTGTGGACCCTGGCCCTGCGTCCTCCCCTCAGGTTCCTCCTGTGCTGGGTGCTGGGGTGGCTGCGGAGCCTCCTACTGTGTGTGGTCCGGTTCCCCCTGTGGTAGAGGCTGCTGCCGTTCTGTGTCGGGCGTCGGTTCGTCCGGCTAGTGGTGCCCGTGCCACTGGATCTGCTTCCGGCTCTGACGATATCCGGCCGGAGCCCAAACGTTCCAGGCGTTCGAATACGGCCTGGGCTGATGTTGGGGACTTTAGTGACTGGGTCTTTAAGTGTTGACGGCGTGGATCCGGCTGAGTCGTTGTCTCCGCGGTTGGTGGTGGCGGAGGTTCATGTGCCTGCTGGTGCTGATGCCCGTGTCTCGGGTGTGTCTCCTGTTTCTTCCCCGCCCGGGGGTTTCCGCTATGGGGTGAGGTGGCTTCCACTGCCAGGGATGGTGCGGATGTTGGTGCTGGGCGTGGCCTGGTAGTGACTTTACGTAAGGATCCGCAACGCCATGATTCCCTGCAGTCGTCTGGTGGTGTGCCCGTGGCCGCTGGTGCCCCTGTGGTGGTGCCCTCTGTTGAGCCCTCTGTCGAGCCCCCTCCTGCGGTGTTGTGCATTGAGGACCTGGAGGCCCGGGTAGCCGAGTTCCTGCTGCTTGAACGGCCGGAGGACTTTTCTGGTGGTCGGGTTCTGGGTGTATGGAATAGGGTGGCGGTTACTCGTGTCCGGAGGGACACCGTGTGGGTTCCATGTCTGCGGGTGTTTGTTGCCGAGGTTCCGGTTCACATGGCGCAGCCGGTGTTAGGTCACGCCTCCTGGACAACGTGGCTGGTTCGGGAGGCGTTCATTGTGTGGTTTCCCCCGGATATGTTCCCGGACAAATATGTACACTGATTTATGTTACTGTAGTTGTTGTTTTTGTTGGTGTTCTTGGCTAGTTGGGTGCTGTGCGAAGTGTTTTGTTATGTTTCTTGATGTACTTTATGTTGTGTTTTATTCTCAGTCCTTCAGGCCAGTGCATGTATGTTGTTGTGTTTGTACCTGTTTGTTTTCTGGTTTGCTTGTTTATTATTATTGTTTATTTTGGCCTCGCCCTTTGTTGCGGGGCGGATGGTTTGGTGTGAGTGTTTTTATTCCTGTATTGTTTCTGTGCTGTACGTTTGCACTGGTGTTTTCATATTGCTTTACCTGTTGTACGTGTTTGTTCTTTGTTTTGTTTGGAATTTATTGTGATTGTCCTGTTATGTTTCCTGTTATGCCTCTTGATGTATGTTTTGTTTTATGAAGGTGTTGTTATGTGATGTTACTGTGCTTGCTTGTTTGCCATTGTATTATGTTTTGTGCCTCGATGTATGCTGTATTTTTCTATGCATTTATCGTGTTTGTGTTTTGTTGTGCTGTGCTGTCGGCCCTTCTGGCCGGTGGTCTATTGTTTTAATTTGTTCTGTTCTGTTTTCTGTGTTGTTTTTATTGTATTTAATTTGCATGCTTTGCATGTAAAAATAAACATAAAAAAAAACTTAAGACGAAGTCAGTGTTGTAGGAACGCCGGAAGGGCTGAAGGCTTGCATTAAGTAACCGTTTGTTGCAAATTATCTGTCAGTTGGACAGGTAATTAAGGGTTCACGGAAATCACGGTAATTAACTCTGACCAGGGTTTGATCGACTCACACGAAGGCTACATTGTTTGCATTAACGTAATGCCTGTTATTAGTATCTGTCAGTTGGACAGGTAATTTGATTGACTCTCAGGAGAGTAAAGTCATTAATAAGTAACGTAGACATAGTGATTAATTATCGGTTTATGGGACAGTTAACTAGTCACCTGAGTTAATCGGGGTAAGTAGTACCCTAACGAGAATTCACTTCGCTGATGTTGTAACTGTTGAGCCAGTGATGAGTGTAATGTATACGTGTATAAATAATTATTGATCTGTGAGATAGTAATTAATTGCTCAGGGCAGTTAAGGGTAATTGACGTCCTCATAACACTTTGGACATAGAATTGTAGTACACAATCGAATGGGAATATAGTATTCAATAACGTAACTCGTGCCGGAATTAATTATCTTTCCGTAGTACAGTAATTAAGGGAATTACTCACTGCATGCTTGATGGGTCAAGTCAAGTGTAATTTCGAGTTACGAGTGACAGTTTGACTTGCCTGTGGGAGACAAGGTTAAGTTAACGTAAGTAGTTGTTGCTGACTGCTGTTGGCAGTAAATTAACGTAACTGTCACTATCAGTATTAACGTAATCAATTAGTCATTGATTGTTGATCGTCCAAGAGACGAGGTGTTAACGTAAGAGTTTAACAAAGAGGGTTGCTGAAGTTACCAGTAACCCCACTAGTCATTGTGATATCATTGAAGGCTACTAGTTTGATTGCATTGCAACTGCCTTGCAGGAGGGCTGCAAAGAGCGTAAAGTAACTGATGGGAGATTACTGGAGACTTGTCTCCTAACCTACCTTGTGGTTGTTGCAATTTGTGATTATAGCCTTAGTATCTTATTGCGTGAGTGCATCCTCTATGAACATTCAGTACTGTTCAAGTTAGTTCATTTATCCAGCACAACGCAATTACAGACAGGATCCAGTGGTTATACTCGTGGCTGGTGTCAAGCTGTCATAAAGGTGTCACAGGAAGGATTTCGAGTAACGTCAGTGATATTTTCATTGTTGTAGGTGTTAGTACTTGTTGAATAAACTGTCTTGTTAAAGTTGAACGCTGTCTTTTGTTACACCTCGCACTATTAATGACTTACATATATTCTGCCACGCTACCTGAAGTTATTGCTATTAATCTGAGACTGCTTCTTGAGCCTCGAGCAGAATTCATAGCACCACACATCAATGAATATTGATGTGAGTACCGTGACCTACCCGTTAGATTCGCTCCAGCGAATGACGGAGGTCGACGGCCTAGTGATAGGGATCTCAAACTTTTGAGGTCTCGGCGTTTGCTCGCGCCTCATGATTTTTCTATGGTCTCTAGAGTAGGGAATGAGCTGCTTACTACACTTAATGTGTCAGCTAAACAGTCCCTTCCACCAGAGGCCCATCTAGACTTTCAGTTTAAAGTTAACGGATGTACAAGAATCATTCATATAAAATTTCACACATACCATCACAGTGAGACGGGCCACATACCATCACAGTGAGACGGGCCACTTACCATCACAGTGAGACGGGCCACTTACCATCACAGTGAGACGGGCCACTTACAAGCACTGTGAGACGGACCACTTACCATCACAGTGAGACGGACCACTTACCAATACAGTTCTCGTCGAAATAATAGCTGCTGGGTTCACCGTCAGCCCAGTTGAAGTAAGCTCCGGGTGTTCCGTCCATCCATCTGTTGCCGTCAATGTCGTTCTTCATGCCAATCCACAGCCCCGTCTGGCTCAGGTCCTGTCTAGCCACCAGGTCTGCAAGGTCCAGCCTCGTGTACATAGGAATTATTCCACAAACATGAGTCACTAAAATAGCTGAATTATTCTCTTGATATGAAGTGATGTTATTATGCCAGGAGGGGATATTCCGTTCGTGCGGTGCGTTTTGGTTGGTTTGTGAACGTTACCTTTACGACCAACCTCTTGGGCTGGATGGAAGAGCAATGGTCTCTCCTTCATGCAGGTCGGCGTTCAATACCCGACCGTCCAAGTGCTTGGACACCATTCCTTCCCCCGTCCCATCCCAAAGCTTAATCCTGATCTCTTCCAAGTGCTATATAGTCATAATGGCTTGGCGCTTTCCCCTAATAGTTCCCTTCCTTTACTAAAGCAATGTGTTCTCAGGTTTAACCCCGTTAGTAATTACGTAAATTCCGTTATTCATAATAAGAGTGAAATAGGTATATTCCTGCTGCGGTAGTTTTATGTGTGGTTTCCCATTGCCAGGGGGCCAGGGAGTCTATTAGACTCCTTGAGGTCCCACTAGGTTAACTACTGACGTTCTCCAGATGCAACCCACAACAGCTGACTAACTCCCGGGTAACTAGTTGCTGCTAGGTGAACATTATTAGAAAATATGCCCAAACGTCTCGAACACGGGACCATTCGGTTGCGAACCCACTACTCAGACCATTATGCTACTGTCACATCTACGTGTACAACACTCAACTTTGTCCTCACTAACTGGTACAATAGTCACGTCCAAGTGTACGATATTGTCCTCACTAACTGGTACAACAGTCATGTCCAAGTGTACGACATTGTCCTCACTAACTGGTACAACAGTCACGTCCAAGTGTACGATATTGTCCTCACTAACTGGTACAACAGTCACGTCCAAGTGTACAACATTGTCCTCACTAACTGGTACAACAGTCACGTCCAAGTGTACAACATTGTCCTCACTAACTGGTACAACAGTCACGTCCAAGTGTACAACATTGTCCTCACTTACTGGTACAACAGTCACGTCCAAGTGTACAACATTGTCCTCACTAACTGGTACAACAGTCACGGCCAAGTGTACAACATTGTCCTCACTAACTGGTACAACAGTCACGTCCAAGTGTACAACATTGTCCTCACTAACTGGTACAACAGTCACGTCCAAGTGTACAACATTGTCCTCACTAACTGGTACAACAGTCACGTCCAAGTGTACGATATCGTCGTCACTAACTGGTACAACAGTCACGTCCAAGTGTACGATATCGTCCCCACTAACTGGTACAACAGTCACGTCCGAGTGTACGATATTGTCCTCACTAACTGGTGCAACAGTCACGTCCAAGTGTACGATATTGTCCTCACTAACTGGTACAACAGTCACGTCCAAGTGTACGATATTGTCCTCACTAACACAGTAAACACAGGAGTGGAGAAGCAACTCACCGAAAACAAATGACTGCTCCTGTGAAGAGTAGAGGGAGACGAGGTCTGGCGAGGACTGTCCCTCGCCGTACCACTGCTCCAGACACACGGCGCGGGCGTCAGCGAAGGTCAGCTCCTCCAGCTCCAGGCGGTAACACTCCCCCGTCACCGGGTTCTCTGTCCAGTCCCAACCGCACGCTGAAGCTGTGGGCAGCGTGGAGGCGTCACACTAGTGTGGGAGCATGTTGTGGCACCACACCTGGTGTGGGAACATGTTGTGGCGCCACACCTGGTGTGGGAGCATGTTGTGGCACCACACCTGGTGTGGGAACATGTTGTGGCGCCACACCTGGTGTGGGAACATGTTGTGGCACCACACCTGGTGTGGGAACATGTTGTGGCGCCACACCTGGTGTGGGAACATGTTGTGGCGCCACACCTGGTGTGGGAACATGTTGTGGCGCCACACCTGGTGTGGGAACATGTTGTGGCGCCACACCTGGTGTGGGAACATGTTGTGGCGCCACACCTGGTGTGGGAACATGTTGTGGCGCCACACCTGGTGTGGGAACATGTTGTGGCGCCACACCTGGTGTGGGAACATGTTGTGGCGCCACACCTGGTGTGGGAACATGTTGTGGCGCCACACCTGGTGTGGGAGCATGTTGTGGCGCCACACCAGGTGTGGGAACATGTTGTGGCGCCACACCTGGTGTGGGAACATGTTGTGGCGCCACACCAGGTGTGGGAACATGTTGTGGCGCCACACCTGGTGTGGGAACATGTTGTGGCGCCACACCAGGTGTGGGAACATGTTGTGGCGCCACACCTGGTGTGGGAGCATGTTGTGGCGCCACACCTGGTGTGGGAGCATGTTGTGGCGCCACACATGTTGTGGCGCCACACCTGGTGTGGGAACATGTTGTGGCGCCACACCTGGTGTGGGAACATGTTGTGGCATGTTGTGGCCACACCTGGTGTGGGAACATGTTGTGGCGCCACACCTGGTGTGAGAGCATGTTGTGGCGCCACACCTGGTGTGGGAACATGTTGTGGCGCCACACCTGGTGTGGGAACATGTTGTGGCGCCACACCTGGTGTGGGAGCATGTTGTGGCGCCACACCTGGTGTGGGAGCATGTTGTGGCGCCACACCTGGTGTGGGAGCATGTTGTGGCGCCACACCTGGTGTGGGAACATGTTGTGGCGCCACACCTGGTGTGGGAACATGTTGTGGCGCCACACCTGGTGTGGGAGCATGTTGTGGCGCCACACCTGGTGTGTGGTGGCACCACACCTGGTGTGGGAACATGTTGTGGCGCCACACCTGGTGTGGGAACATGTTGTGGCACCACACCTGGTGTGGGAACATGTTGTGGCGCCACACCTGGTGTGAGTTTGAAGCACAAAGTAGAAAACTATGAGGATGAATTTAGGTACTTTTTGGTTTTACTTTTGAATACGACATAGGTTGAACAATTATTTTATTCACTGGTGAGTGAGTTCCATAAACTGGGTTCTTTCCATCCACCTGGGCTCTAGCAGACTCGAACCCTGGACCCCACGTGTGTGAGGCCGATACTCAGTTGACCGAGCTATTGAGTAGTGTTAATAAGGAAAGTTTCCAGAAGCAGCATCCTGCTGCCAAACTGGAGTATTCGACTTTCCCCTGACTACTACTGAAGCTCACAGGAATTAGTGTCGCTAGTGTCCTATTTAAAGGAGTTAAAAGTGCAAAAACAGATGCATTCGAACTAGGCACACCTCAAGGTGGTGTCCTAAGCCCTATGCTTGTCAATATACTTATGCACAAACTTATCCATGACATACCTGTACAACCTACTGAAGCTGTCATATGTTATGCTGATGATATTTGTATTATGGCACACAGTAAACCAAGGTTACAAGTGTTACTTGATGCATTCTCCAAGAAAGTAGTAGAATGTGGCCTCATGATCTCTGTTGATAAAACAAGGGTTCTTATTCCCCATTCTCTTCATGTTAATTATACTATTAATGGAGTGCCCGTGGAGACTTGTGAGTCTTATAAGTATCTTGGAGTCGAGGTTAATGATACAAATCTCATCAGCAACCTGCGCAAAAAACTTGTTGAGCGTCTTTAACCTCTCAAAACTCTTGAGCGTAAAGGATTTGGCATTAACATAAAATATACTCGTAGTTTTTAAATTGCCTTTATACGATCTGTTGTTGATTATTATGCCTTGCATCTTCTTAATTTTTCTCCTAAACAATTACAAGGCCTAGATGTAGTACAGAATGATGCCATGCGCATCATCCTGGGTTGTCCAAGAACTGTCAGAATTGTTAACATGAGAAAGGAACTAAAATTACCTTCCATTTACGAAAGAATAGTTATACTTAGTACTATGTTTTGCGCTAAAACTTTGAAAAATAATGGTCCCCTTCAGCTCTATTCAAATTAAATTGAGATCCATTCTAAACAATTCTGATTGTTCCCTCAATTCGCCGCAAAAAGCTCCTTACAGTGTGTGGCTCAGTTGTTGTGCCTATAATCTTCTGAAACTGACTGTGTCTCTTAATCCTGGTAAAACTGTTCACTATATTCTCCCCTTGGAAAGATGTGTAGGTCTCTTTGCATTATACTCCAATCAGTGTCAAACAAATGTATAACACTGGAACTATGAGATGTATAACATTAGAAGCAATTGACCGTCATCTTCAAACTCTCAAACCGACGGAATCCTATGCCTTTAATGATGGCTCCGTGCAGCTAGGCACTGGTAGAACAGGTTGTGCATAAAGGGAATGAAATGATCATGTCTAGTATACAGAGACTGAACAACTGGGCAAGCACGACACAGACTGAGCTATTGGGTATTTATCTTGCCACTGAGTACCTTAAGCTCAATGGTGTTGGAGTGATATTCTGCGACTAAAAGTGCTCTGCAGTCCTTAAATAACCCATCACAATGTATGTCGGAAGAAGTTTGTAATATTGAATGGAATGTAATTTTTGCCAATGATAATAACTACTGTATAAAATTTGTGTGGATCTCATCTCATGTTGGAGTTGGAAAACATGACTTTGTATATCGATTGGCCAATGAGGTTTGCAGGAAAGAAAACATTGATTATGACTTTGGACTATCTAATGCAATTATTAGAAACATACAAATTAGAGAAATTAATTCAGATTTAGAAGAACTAAGAAATGCCCAGAGACCTGAAAGCTGCAGTATTAAAAGCTATGACAAGTTTTGTAATAATAGGTATTAGTATGGTCAGCACAGTAACCGGACCAGGCAATGTGATGTAGTCATTGCACGAATTCGCCTTAGCTATAGACACATCTGGCAGGTTAGTGAGGCTGAGCCATTACCAGAATATTCAGATTGTAAACTCTGTGATAAACCTTTAATGCATTCACTAGGATTCATATTGTTGAATGTGAAACCGTAAAAGACTTTAGACCTCCTGGCCTCTTGTACCACCAACTGTGTAACTATTTCATTGACTCAGGTGTTCTGGACGATATCCCGACAATTTATCCAAAATTTGCTTGTCCATTTTAAAGAATGAAGAACATTTTTATTTATATTACTTCTAAGCTGCATCGCTTATGAACCCATCCCTGCCCTTGTGTGGCAGTGCACAATAGAAAGTTGTTTTCACATATTCATATATTAGTTTTTTAGTTTTGGTTTAGACTAGGGAGTTTGTTTGTAGAACGTCCTTTTTGCTTGACCAAACGCGAGATCCAAGACTGATTTTGGGTATTTTAATTTCTTCCCAATTTCAAATATTTCGTTATTTCTTCATCAAAAAATTCTGGGCTGCAAACCCTCAGGGCTCTGAGAAACCTTCCAGAAAATACTGCTACCTTAACCTGAACATTATGATTTGAGTAAAAATGAACATTCGAGCACACATTGGTTGGTTTCCTATATACATCGAATTTGAAACTCCTGCTAATTCTGTGAATCATGATGTCTAAAAAAAGGCAGAACATCATTCTCTTCATTCTCAATTGTGAATTTAATTGACAGGGACCAGCGAATTAAGCTGAATGAAAAAATCAATTCGGTCATGGTTAACCGGCCACAGGCATCGTATACCGTCAACATACCTATAACACACCAAATTCGAGGGTAAAATCCCGGTTAAGATATTCGTTTCAAAACATTCCATGTCCAAATTGCTCAAAACAGGGGGAGAGAGGATTTCCCATCACCATGCCAAATGTTTGTTTTATATAATGAATCATTAAAGCTGAAATAATTATCTTTAATGCACAATTTTATGAGTTCAACAATGGTGTTAGTAGGTAAAGTTAAATTATATTTAGGGAGTAGATCCCGGAAGAATGCCAACAAGTCATCAACAGGAACCCTAGTGAACAGAGCCGAAACGTCAAAACTCACAAGTTTAAAATCAAAATTTAATTTCATACCAGACAACTTGTTAACTACGTCCAAGTTGTTTGTTATGTGTGAGTAGGCAATGGCACCTCCTACTGGGGACAAGACCGGGACAAGCTATTTGGAAAGTCTATATGCCACAGATCCAACAGAACTAATAATAGGTCTTGCAGGATTATTTGGTTTGTGTGTTTCAATAAGACCATACAGAAATGGTATGGAAGGGGAAATGACTTAAAAACTTATGAAATCAACTCCTTATCGTTCTTGAGCAATGTTTTAAGAGTTTTGTTAAAATGTGTTATAACTTTTTTCAATAGGATCACTATTAACAGGTAAGTAAGAGTCTCTGTCATCCAATAACTGGTTCATTTTTTGGACGTAGTCATTGTTATTCATGTGCTGATGATATGATGAGTCACAATAACGTGGCTGAAGAATGTTGACCAAACCACGCACCAGACGATGAAAAGACGACGACGTTTCGGTCCGTCCTGGACCATCTTCAGGTTATCTTAAGATTATTTCGGGACTTAGCGTCCCTGTGGCCCGGTCCTCGACCAGGCATCCTTTTTTTGTTACACACCCACCAGGAAGCCGCCCGTAGCAGCTGTCTAACTCCTAGGTACCTATTTACTGCAAGGTGAACAGGTGCATCAGGGTTAAAGGAACTATGCACATTTGTTTCCGCCTCTACCGGGGATCGATCCCGGAACCTCAGGACTACGAATGCAAAGTGATGTCCATTCACCTGTCAGGCCCATTATCAAGCCTCCTCAAGGGAAGTCGTGAGTGGTGGAGCCACCTAAACCTCTGAGGCGCTATTCTGTGATTGGTCGTCAAACACACTGACGACCAGCTTGGCCCGGTCCTGGTTTGGGCGCCAAATTTATTCTGTCCAGGGTTGTTATGCTTGTATGACGTGTGGTTCACGTGGTTCTGTCCAGGGTTGTTATGCTTGTATGACGTGTGGTTCACGTGGTTCTGTCCAGGGTTGTTATGCTTGTATGACGTGTGGTTCACGTGGTTCTGTCCAGGGTTGTTATGCTTGTATGACGTGTGGTTCACGTGGTTCTGTCCAGGGTTGTTATGCTTGTATGACGTGTGGTTCACGTGGTTCTGTCCTGGGTTGTTATGCTTGTATGACGTGTGGTTCACGTGGTTCGGCCAAACTATGTGAAACATTGTCCGTAACGACCATTATGTTGCTCCATCTCATTGTACCTCGACGCAAGTCCGCTTTAAGATATGCAGTATCTGGTATTCGCGGCCGATAGTACATTGATTTAAGTAAGGAGTGTACTTAACACTAACGTAGAGTCAACTGCGTTATCATTGCCAAAGCAGAAGGCAACAGACTGTTTTGTGAATCCCCCATTTAATTCTCACATCGCTCGTCATTGTCTCATTGAATAAGGTACATAGCATTAAAAGTATCAGGGAGGCTCTACAGTAATCAGGGAAAGTGTTCAGTAGAAATTCCGTGAATTTCATTCCAACGTAAGACATTGACATTAATCTCACCGCATCGCTATTTCGTCCAGGCCTACACAGTGGGTATGGAACGTGTACTCACCTAGTTGTGCTTGCGGGGGTTGAGCTCTGGCTCTTTGGTCCCGCCTCTCAACCGTCAATCAACAGGTGTACAGGTTCCTGAGCCTATTGGGCTCTATCATATCTACACTTGAAACTGTGTATGGAGTCAGCCTCCACCACATCACTTCCTAATGCATTCCATTTGTCAACCACTCTGACACTAAAAAAGTTCTTTCTAATATCTCTGTGGCTCATTTGGGCACTCAGTTTCCACCTGTGTCCCCTAGTGCGTGTGCCCCTTGTGTTAAATAGCCTGTCTTTATCTACCCTATCAATTCCCTTGAGAATCTTGAATGTGGTGATCATGTCCCCCCTAACTCTTCTGTCTTCCAGCGAAGTGAGGTTTAATTCCCGTAGTCTCTCCTCGTAGCTCATACCTCTCAGCTCGGGTACTAGTCTGGTGGCAAACCTTTGAACCTTTTCCAGTTTAGTCTTATCCTTGACTAGATATGGACTCCATGCTGGGGCTGCATACTCCAGGATTGGCCTGACATATGTGGTATACAAAGTTCTGAATGATTCCTTACACAAGTTTCTGAATGCCGTTCTTATGTTGGCCAGCCTGGCATATGCCGCTGATGTTATCCTCTTGATATGGGCTGCAGGAGACAGGTCTGGCGTGATATCAACCCCCAAGTCTTTTTCTTTCTCTGACTCTTGAAGAATTTCATCTCCCAGATGATACCTTGTATCTGGCCTCCTGCTCCCTACACCTATCTTCATTACATTACATTTACTTGGGTTAAACTCTGACAACCATTTGTTCGACCATTCCTTCAGCTTGTCTTGGTCTTCTTGAAGCCTCAAGCAGTGCTCCTCTGTCTTAATCCTTCTCATAATGTTGGCATCGTCAGCAAAACATTGAGAGAAATGAATCTATACCCTCCGGAAGATCATTTACATATATTAGAAACAGGATAGGTCCGAGTACAGAGCCCCGTGGGACTCCACTGGTGACTTCACGCCAGTCTGAGGTCTCACCCCTCACTGTAACTCTCTGCTTCCTATTGCTTAGGGAATGCTCCCTAATCTACTGGAGCACCTTTCCAGCTACACCTGCCTGTCTCTCCAGTTTATGTACCAGCCTCTTATGCGGTACTGTGTCAAAGGCTTTCCGACAATCCAAGCAAATGCAGTCCGCCCAGCCTTCTCTTTCTTGCTTAATCTTTGTCACCTGGTCGTAGAATTCTATTAAGCCAGTCAGGCAAGATTTACCCTCCCTGAACCCATGTTGGCGATTTGTCACGAAGTCCCTTCTCTCCAGATGTGTTACCAGGTTTTTTCTCACGATCTTCTCCATCACCTTGCATGGTATACAAGTCAAGGACACTGGCCTGTAGTTCAGTGCCTCTTGCCTGTCGCCCTTTTTGTATATTGGGACCACATTCGCCGTCTTCCATATTTCTGGTAGGTCTCCCGTCTCCAGTGACCTACTATACACTATGGAGAGTGGCAAGCAAAGTGCCTCTGCACACTCTTTCAGTACCCATGGCGAGATCCCGTCTGGACCAACAGCCTTTCTAACATCCAGATCCAGCAGGTGTCTCTTGACCTCCTCTCTCGTAATTTCGAACCCTTCCAAGGCCGCCTGGTTTACTTCCCTTTCTCCTAGCACAGTGACCTCACCTTGTTCTATTGTGAAGACCTCCTGGAACCTCTTGTTGAGTTCTTCACACACCTCTTTGTCATTCTCTGTATACCTGTCCTCGCCTGTTCTAAGTTTCACTACCTGTTCTTTCACTGTTGTTTTCCTTCTGATGTGACTGTGGAGTAGCTTTGGTTCGGTCTTGGCTTTGTTTGCTATATCATTTTCATAACTTTTCTCTGCTTCTCTTCTCACCCTGACATACTCATTCCTGGTTCTCTGGTATCTCTCTCTGCTTTCTGGTGTTCTGTTATTCCGGAAGTTCCTCCACGCCCTTTTGTTCAGTTTCTTTGCTTCCATACATGCCCTATTATACCATGGATTCTTCTTTTGCTTCTCGGATTTTTCCCTTTGGGCCGGGATGAACCTGTTTACTGCCTCCTGACACTTTTGGGTGACATAGTCCATCATATCTTGTACAGACTTAGCTCTGAGGTCTGTGTCCCAAGGTATTTCCCTTAGGAAACTTCTCATCTCCTCATAATTTCCCTTTCGGTATGCCAGCCTTTTGTTTCCTAGTTCTTTTTTGGGGGAGATAATTCCTAGCTCTACCAGGTACTCAAAGTTCAATACACTGTGATCACTCATTCCCAAGGGTGCTTCCATCTTAACTTCCCTTATATCCCACTCATTTAGGGTAAATATCAAATCAAGCATTGCTGGTTCATCTTCTCCTCTCATTCTTGTTGGTTCCTTGATGTGCTGGCTTAGAAAGTTTCTTGTTGCCACGTCCAGCAGCTTAGCTCTCCATGTTTCTGGTCCTCCATGCGGGTCTCTGTTCTCCCAATCTATCTTCCCATGGTTGAAGTCTCCCATGATTAGTAGTCCAGATCCATTCCTGCTAGCAACAGAAGCTGCTCTCTCTATTATGTTAATGGTGGCCATGTTGTTTCTATCATATTCCTGTCTGGGTCTTCTGTCATTTGGTGGTGGATTATATATGACTACGACTATAATTTTTTGCCCTCCAGTTGTTATGGTACCTGTTATGTAGTCACTGAAACCTTCACAGCCCTGAATAACCATCTCCTCAAAATCCCAGCCTTTTCTTACCAGCAGAGCTACACCACCACCACCTCTTCCTTCTCTCTCTTTCCTCATAACATAATAGTCCTGTGGGAACACTGCATTTGTTATGGTTTTCGTTAGCTTTGTTTCTGTGAGTGCTATTATGTCTGGGTTTTCCTCTAGTACCCATTCTCCAAGTTCATTTGCTTTATTTGTAATTCCATCTATGTTAGTGTACATTGCCTTGAGGCTCACTTTCTTCTGTCCCTTCTCAAATCGCCTCCTTGGTGAGTGTTCTGCTGGTGGGGGAAGCTGTTCCATGGGTGTGAGGACTTGTGAGGTGGATAACAGGGTCGCAGAGGATACTGGGATGAGGGGTGGGGGGTCAAGTGAAGGGGGAGGGACAAGGAGGGTATGGGGTGAAAGGGGAGGGAGGAGGAGGAAGGAGGAAAAGGGGGGGGAGGGGGGGACTCGGCGGGAGGGAGGGGTAGAAGGGTGGGGATTGGGTGTGGGGGCGGAGGGAGATGTGGCTGAGTATTTGAGTGGGGGCGAGTTTCAAGCTTCCATCCATGTCCCCTCGTTCTGTTACTATTCCGTGTGAACATTTCGTCTATGTCCACTCTGTCAATCCCTCTGAGTATTTTATACGTTCCTATCATGTCCCCCCTCTCCCTTCTTCTTTCTAGTGTCGTAAGGCACAGTTCCCTCAGGCGCTCCTCATACCCCATCCCTCGTAGCTCTGGGACGAGTCTCGTTGCAAACCTCTGAACCTTTTCCAGTTTCATTATATGCTTCTTCAGATGGGGACTCCATGATGAGGCGGCATACTCTAAGACTGGCCTCACG